TTTTGCTGTCTAATATTTTTGTGGAAACTGTGATACATTTTTGTATGTCTCACATCTTTTAGCTTCTAATTACATCCTTTAAAGAATGACCATTGACTTCCTCAGATATTTAACTAAAAAAAAAAAAAGCATTAACCTGCTTGTAACTGACAATGCTGATTTTCCTGACCATGTCATGTGGCTGTTTATTGTGTTTAGCATGTCATTGTAATCAATCATGATGCTGGTAACATAATTAAAATCACATGATCACTAAAAGCACTTTGGGATATGCACATTACAATGGCAAGAGATGGCTACAGTAGAAGAGATGCATTTTACATTAAGCCATGCATTGTTTCCTGCATTCAACAAAATTAATGTAACATAAAGGTGAGGGTTTTTAAATTTTTCAGCACGACTATTGTATCTCACAGATGTCGATGAGCAGTAGAAAAGGCACTGTTTAATTATGCCAGTTCACAAAGGTCAATGATGCCTCTGCTCATACACCATGTGGATGAAGTGACAAACGAGGCACAAATGATCTTCTGTAGTGCTTTCTGTTACACAGGCTGGTTCAACCGCAGAACATGATCCTTACTTGCACAAGTGTGTTGCAGGTCAAAAGGAAAAGTTTGACATCATTTACAACCTCATGTCATTCCAGACCTGTATGACTTTCTTTTGTGAAAGAAGATATTTTGAAGAATGTTGGAAGCCAAACAGCTTTGGCGACCATTGACAAAAACACAACAACAGACATTACTGAAACTATCTGAAATTTCGATCAACAAGAGGGTGAGTAAAGGATGACAGGATTGTCATTTTTGGGTGAACTCTCTCCTTTAAATGCCGTGACGTAGTTATTCAATGTTAACCAGTCTTTAATACAGTCAGGGTTGACCATGTGTCATTTTACATGTGTTCTGCCCTGTATATATTCAGTGGCTGTATGATTGATCTTGAGGTTTATGAAGAAGCTTTAGATGTGTCCAACTTTAGTCTTTTTTTCAGAGCAAATATATATCACATTCTGATTGCTAAATAGTCCATATGATTAATTTTATCTGACACAGATTTGTTAGCAGATGGTCTGTCTTGGGACAAGGAATAATGGACGGAAGCTCCTGTTGTTTAAGGAGGAAATGTTGTGCAGTTTTATCGTCCTGAAATAATGGGACAGGCCTGTGAATGATAATAGGCAGATAAGGATATTTGAAAACTGTTGAGATTTTTTTTAAATCAGAATGATTAACATTTTAATGTACTTAGCAATTGTCTTTATATATTTGTTCCAACCTAATCTCATGAGTAAATGTAAATATTTTGCAAGGTGGCGATTTCATGTACATTTTTTTATAATGGCATTCATCTGAAAACTATGCTATGTAAATGGATCGTATGAAAACGTACCAATTAGATCATACAAATTCATACGAATTATTGCCACCAATTCACCAATACATATAATAGTTTTGAGTTGGCCTGAAAGTATCATTTTAATTCCTGAAGAAGTATAGAGATTAAACTAATCACTGTGAAGGTAATGTCAGGGTTATGTCTATGTCTGTTTAGTTTCATAGGGTTTTGGTTTCGTTTTCCTTGCTCCCGTTTTGCCTGTGTTCCTTGGTCATTATTTTCTGATAAATCCAGCACATGTTTCTGTTCTGGTTAATTAATTCTCCCTGTGTATTTAACCCCTTAGTTCTTTGTCCGGTACTGTTTATGCTTTGACATGTTTGTATTCTCCTGAGTTTCTCCTTAGAATTATGACTACAGACTGTTTATTTCTATGAATCTTTAGGTTTTATAAATATTGCCCTTGAGTGGTATGGGCATTCGGCGGTCACAGAGAATGCCCGTGACTTGTCGCCATTTGACCCATGCCGTGTTGGCTCGGGCGTCAGGGAGGGAGTCGCCATCGCTCCGAATGAGCGAACTGAGATATTTGAATTCGGTGACTTTGTTTAATGGCTGCCCTCTAACTCTGATTGTCCCGTCGGTCTGGGGTCCGCACTTAATATACTCAGTCTTTTTGATGTTGAGGGGCAATCTGTGCGCGTCCAACCGCTTATTCCAGTCTTGCACTTGATGTTCAAGCCCACGACGGGCTTCGTCAGCTTGGAAAATATCGTCGCGAATAGAAGTGACCAGGGCTGAGACGCCTGAATATCCCCCGTGGCATTGTCCATGCACTGAGAGCGGAGAGAAGGCGGATCCCTGGTGCATGCCGACAGTGGTTAGAAACGATTCGGACAGGCCTGCGGGGCATCGGACGACGCTGGTGGTGTTGGTGTAGAGGAGCTGGATCCATCGTACGTACTCTTCGGGGGCACCGTGAGAGAGGAGCGAATGCCAGATGAGATCCCCGGGCACACGTTCAAATGCCTTCTCGAGGTTGAGAAAGGCCATGTGTACTTGCTGGTTCTTCTCCAGCCTAACGGCGTGGATCGCATCAGTAGTGCCGCTTCCTCTAACAAATCCACACTGATTGGGACTCATGGAGACGATCTTCCGGAGACGGTCGTCAATTACGCCCTCAAATATCTTCATGGCATGGCAGAGCAGGCGAATCGGGCGGTAGGTGTTGCATTCGCCGACGTCGCATTTGCCTTTCCAGATCGGGACCGTAACACTGGCAGCCCACGTTGAGGGAGTGGTGCCCTCGTTAATGATCTTATTAAACAGTCGGGCAAGGACTTCAGTGCATCGGCGTCCGAGTAGCTTCCATGCCTCAGCGGGAATGTTGTGGGGTCCCGGAGCCTTTCCTTTCTTTGCGTCCTTTGCGGGGCTGATCTGCGGTACCTGCCCGGGGATGGGGGCGGTGCTTGTGATCAGTGGAGGCGGGAATTCCTTGTTGCACATCGAGTCAAAGTACTCTTTCCAGCGTTGCAAAATGACGGGGGGATCACGGAGGACTTGGTGGTTGGCGTCTTTGATGTTCATTACTTGACCGATGTCCAGTGTTGAGCGATGGCGGGCGTTCGCGAGTTTGTAGATTTGGTTGGCTCCTTCAGGCGTGTAGAGCTGGGCATAAAGGTTGGCGTGGTGCCGGAGCTTCGCGGTAGCCACCGCCTTCTTCGCTATCGACTTCTGTCGTCTGTACTCATGCCAGTCGTCGGCCACCTGTGAGACACGCCACAACTTGAACGCAGCCTTCGTAGCTTCTTGAACCTCGTCGGTCCACCACAACTAAGTGTTTGCTTGTCTACGAATCGTTGCCCTGGCATGGTTGCACCGAGGCACTCTCCCGCCACGTCACAGATCGTCTTAGTCATGTTTGCCCAGAGTGTTTCAATAGGCGGGTCGCCGTCATTGACAGCGATGTGGGTGTTGAGCACGACAGCCAGTTGTGTTGTCTTCTCGGGCAGGCGCCACCACTTGATCTTCTCAGGACTGGCAAGTCGAGCGCGGGGTCAGAGGCCGAGGTTAAGCTGGAGATCAAGGGCTAGTAGCCGGTGTTGGGAGGCAATTGTCTAATGGAATCACCTTGGCATCCATGACCAGCTTGAAGTCGCGCCGTTGTATAAGCCAATAATCAATCTGGGTCGATCATCCACCGCTGATATAAGTGGCGAGATGGGAGTCACATTTCTTGAAAAACGCTTTGGCAATGACCAGATCGAGGGCCTCTGCACAATTGAGAATTTGACCGCCCCTTCATTTTGGATACCATAGCCTTGTCCGCCGTGTGCCTGCTCGTACCAGTCTGCCACAGCCCCAACATGGCCATTGAGGTCGCCGCCGATCAGGAGATCCTCATTGATGTTGATTGATCACCGATCCAGTGTCGATCATGATTGACATGAGGCGATCCGAGATGCGGTTGACCTCAATGACATTGTTGCGCAGCTTCTCACTGACGATGGTTGCCACTCCATTTCGGTTGTTTGCCACTCCATAGTAGTAGAACTTGTACCCTTCTCCAATGTCTCTCGCCTTTGGCGCCTTTCCATTTCGTTTCTTGTATGCAGGCAATATCGACGTGCCGGGTTTTCAATGAGCTGGCCAATTCGTGGGTTCTTCCAGTAAGCGTGCCAATGTTGAGGGTTGCAAATCGTAGATGTTGGACTAGCGTCTTCAGCCTGCCCCGTCATTGAGCAGGTAGCCCTCGTCCACTTTTCGCATTGTTCGGGCGGGGATGGCGCGCGTCGCCTGTGGGGGACGCCCTAGCATTCGGATCCAAATGTCGTTTAGACATTGCATTTTTTTGATGCAACAGGAAGTTTCGGTCAGCCGACGCATCACACCGTCTGTCACTGACCACCCTCACCATTGGCCCGATCGAATAAATCGTCGGTTTCCGGCCAGCACCACGTGGAGGTGGTGATGGGATTTTACCGGCCTGATTAATTCATTATAATTAATATATCAAAGCTCTACATAATGTGAAGACATTACATGATCATGACAGATGAAACCATCAAATAGACGTAATACAAATTTCTAAAGTAAAAAAAGCCATAACATTGAACATAAACCTATAAATACATAAACAATACATCTTGCAATCAAGTTTATCAATCTGTCCGAGGTAGACCAAGGGGCTGTTTATACAGGATATATTTCTTCTGTAATATTTTATAATTGTTCAGTTGTTGGTCTGTGGACACAAGCACATGGATGTCTACAGTATGTCCAGACCATATATCATATCTCAATTATGCCCATTTATCCATATGTTTATTTTGGCATCACACATTGCCATTTCTGGGTCCAAACAATCTATCAGATCCCAAAAGCAAACAACAAACAGTGCTAAAATATGCATGAAAAAAAATCATGATCCTAACCTTTATCTCCTTATAGAAATCTCAATTGGTCACAGTTATTCATCTTTTCTGAATTGTTAAAATATTGTTTTTTGAGTTGAGTTTTTAAAAGTTTAGCTTAAAGGTGTGCTATGAATGAACAGTGCTCATAAACAGCTGTTGAGAAAATGGAAGCCTGGATCTGGAAACAGTATTCGATATGTCACAACAAGTGGATTGAACCACATTTAATTTGTCTTCTGACAGATGGATCACAGAAGAGTGGGAACATTGTACTAAAACCTGTGGGAGCTTGGGAAACCAAATCCGCACTGTGCGCTGTGTCCAGTTCCTTCACGAGGGCACTAACCGCTCCATCCACAGCAAATACTGCAGTGGGGAAAAGCCTGAGATCAGGAGGGCATGCAACAGAATACCCTGCCCAGCCCAATGGAGGACCGGGGCCTGGTCAGAGGTACATTTTTCTCAGGTCACATGATGTTTTGAGGCTATCAATACAAAAGCACTAGTTGTCGAGGTTTTTGAAAGGAATCAATCTTCTCACTTTCCCAAAATGCTCAATTATATTTTGCAAAGCTCAGCAGAAAGAAATACTTTCTGCAAGCAGTTTTCAGTGTAATTGGGCTTGAAATCAGTGTGAAATCAGTCTTATTTAAGAACGTGTTTACCTCATCCAAGGAATGTTTTTTTTGTTTGGAGAGTCAAGAAACGTCTGGAGAAAAAAAATCAGGACTTATTTCCTTTTAGTTTGTACTTTTTACCTTGAAGTTAGAATTGTTTTCTTGCACTAGCAGTGTCCAAGTGAGGCCTGACATTTCCAATGATTTTTATGTCAATAATGATTTAAAAAGTCAACCATAGAGAATGTTTCATGACAGTGACCTTATTACCCAGCTGTGTCAGAAAGCTAAAATCCAGACTTTGAGTGTTTAAATTGCCAAGAAGTCTTTTGATGATTGTAAATATTATACAGAGATATCAAGCTTGAGCTAGTACACTGTCAATAGGTGTAATCCTCTAGTGAACCAGTCTATGTGGTATTGATTTTGACCCCAAGAAAAAGGATTAACACCAAGCTGTGTCAATGAATATTGTTAATAAGTCATTGAATAGGCTGACCAAACAGGACATAAAAGCAATATGCGATGCGAAAAAGGCTTTTTTTTTTTTTGTCCTAACCAGCTGTGACTGAAAATATTTTCTGGTTGGCTTTGATTCAATTGTATTTATTTCACACTGCGCTTAACTTTGGTGTTCTAAAAACTGCTTTTAACCCCGAGTATATATCTGCAATACATCCATGTTGGTTCTGTTCTGTTTATCCTAAGGGGGATTATTGCTGCTCTCCCTGCTCTTATCAATGCTATAGGCTGCATGGATGCGCAGGGAGTTCTTGCCCAGAACAGAACTATACCGCCAACCCAACTGTATGCTAATTGTCAATCGTATTTGACGATAGTGGTCCTGACAGAAACAGTAGTTTCAGCGTTTGAGTGGGAAAATGTCAAATGCTGATAGAAAATGCAACAATTGGAGTAAAGAAGAAATCATTAGATTTTCACCTATAAAATCCGAAAAGTACATTCAGGATAAACTTGATAGTACAGTCTGCAATATATAACATGAGGATGCGCAATGCAAGAGCCTTTACGTAAACAAATTGAATGCACAGTCATCCAGTCAGTAACACTGACACAGCACATATGTAAATAAGGACATTTACCCAGGGTTTAAGAATCTACAGTGTGAAACGTCATTTTATGAATGCTAAGTATTAACTGTTAACCCCAGATAAATTATGAGCAATGTGAAATATAAAGATAACAAAGGATTCCTTTTTCCCAGGCTTTAAAAAGACCCAGGATTAACTATTTTAAGTGTGAAAAGTCCTAATGCGGACAGATACAATTGCATTGTGCTTGTTTAGGACAGTGTTAGATGTTTGAAACCATGTGTATTTTTCTGTGGTTACCATCATCCTCCTTATCTCTCAGTGCTCAGTGTCCTGTGGGGAGGGTGTGGTGCGACGCCTGGTCACATGTCGCATTGGAGATCAATGCACCGGCGAGAAGCCTGAGTCACACAGACCCTGCAGGCCAGGACCCTGTCACGGTAAGATGACACAGACACATCATTACAATTTCTGCAACCCAAAGCAGGAAATTGGTTTCAACAGGAAACACTTCAGCACAGGGATGAAAATGTGCGATTTTATGGGGTCTTGAATGGCTAAACTGTTCATGTTGTTCTTTCAACAAAAGAAAGCATATTGAAAGAGAATAGAAAATATTCCACAATGAACAAATTCATCTACATTGATGACATTATTCATGGTGCCCTTAACCACAGTGAATTTCCCAGAATGCTTTTGTGGTCTATGAACTTCTCAACTGCTCTCTGGTGAAGCGTGTTTACCCCATCTCAATTGCCTGTTGAGAGCTTTTATTTAGACAAGCATTTTACGTGTGAGAAAGTTTGTAATTAGGCCACGCAATGCCTACAAGCTTAAACCGAACATTTTTCACACCCCATGAGTTTGAAATTGTACATTTATCTTTGTGTTTTATGCAACATGTTTGGCTGTTGTGATGTGCACTGCCTACAGCACAGAAAAAAAACAGTTTCTTAACAAACATAAAAGCCTGACTTTGTTCAAGAGAACTCTATTGCTGCTCTCAGGATGTTTCCTGAGTAACACTCAGCTGGTCAGCATTATTTGTTAGAACTCAGTGTGTCTTGATTACAGTGATAAGAGTTAGAAATCCAAAATAAATTTCAGCAGACATCACTGTGAATAGCACTTTCTTTATGTGTCTGCTTGCATGACGCTACCCGTAATTCCTGTTTATGGCTTAAGCCGCACCTGGATGACATCCATCTCTGTGGAAGGTTAACAAAACATCTACCCTTTACAACTGACACTTGCGGCACACTGCTTACCTTTTCAGCTTCATATAAAGCAGGACTCCTTAGGGAGCTGAAGGCATTTTCTTTTCATCTGTGAAACAGCCAGTTGGTGGTTCTCCTAGTTGTAGCGGCCCCTTGGATTTATTGATCAAGAGGCAGAGAGTTTCAAACGGGTGTCGATTTATTTCTTCCTCTCAACGTGCACCATGTACCATAAGCACCATGAACACCGTGACAACTATAGAAGAAAACAGAAGAAATACAAAATGCTTCTATGTAGCTTCACAAATAATTCGCACAAAATTGTGTTCACATATTAATCATGTTTACACACAATACAAATCATTTTAACTAACAACCAATATGAATATGAAATGAAATGTTTTTAAGCCTTTGAGACAAATAAATATCACATACTTTTAAATGAAATACAATATATTATAATTGTTCACAGAAATAATATTGCTTTTATATTGATGACGTGCAATTAACCCATAAACAAATTAAGTAATGACATTCTCTTTTCCTTAAACAAAATCCCTTCTGATAATAATACACTAGACACATTTTTTCTTTCATACCTCATTCTGCTCTCCAAGGACGCTAATCAAATAGTTTCCGCCATCAGCTATCATGCTCTCTAGCTCGACACACCCTCACAGTTCGTAGGTCTTAGAAATAACATGTACAAACAATGAAAAAAATAAATAAAATCACAATGTAAACTCTTTCTTTACAAGATTCAAATGGATGAACATGATAAATAACTAACGTGTTTACCAGTTTTTTACCGTTCTTCCGACGATGCGTAAGCACCACATTGTGAAGAGAAAGTAGCAGGAAGTTAATGCATTCTCATCCCAAGGCGTCATATACTGACGCTTTTGCCAAAGCGTCTACATCCAACGCACATGGCACCCTTTAGCGTCAATATAACACACTTCGGTTATGGGTAGGTTTAGGTCTGGGGTAGGGTTAGGGTTAGACCACTAGGAGGCACCTTCTGGCCCATATATATCTGCGTCTCATATTGACGCTAAAGGGTGCCATGTGCGTTGGATGTAGACGCTTTGGCAAAAGCGTCAGTATATGACGCCTTGGAATGAGAACGGGCTCGAAGTTTTGCGTCACAAAAACATAAGAAGAAGAAAAACGGCGCTTTTCAAAATAAAAGCAGAACAGACAAGGTGACACTGTAGAACTACAATGTCTTATTAAAATATAATTACAATACTATATAGGAGAATATTAATGCGATTTATCAGACATTTACACTAGTGAGACAATGACAAATTGTCCATAATCCAACTTCAGAAACTGGAATGGCCCTATTATGACTTTTATTAATTAATGGCCTTTTTTACTGAGGACCATTTTTTGTATAGTTTTACTTTTGTTTTGAATAGGACAGTGAGAGGAGGAAGGAACAATACGATAAAGCTGAGGGGATCAGAAAAAGACACCCACACATAAGCATCAATATGCAATGCATATGACTTTCCAGGCCATATCACCGGCAGACCTCTGAGTTTGATATTGGCTTCAGAATTACATTATCATCATATATGTATATACATAAATGTAATTACATTACAATTACATCACTAATTATCAAGACTAAATGGATAGTTCACCCCAAAAAAATGACATTCTGTCAGCATTTAACTCTTTCCCCGCCAGCGTTTTTTTTTTTTTTTTTTTTTTTTTGCCAGCCACCGCCAGCATTTATGATCATTTTAACAAGTTTCATGGCCACCAGAATGATTTGTTGTATGAATATCGGAACATGCAATATATCAAAAGAAAGAACAGAACCTCTGCTTTTGAACAACTACAACAAAATATTTGTTTTCTAGCATAATTCTTTTTTTTTTTATAACACTTGAATGTGGTTAAGTTTCATAAAATACATATTTTGAGCAAAAATGCATTTTTGCCAAAGACTACATCCAGATCGGATTCAGAACGATGATCAAAATTGGATTAGATCGTGCCCATCAACAACTCCAGGGCAGGGGTGGTAAAAGTACTCAAAAGTTATACTCGAGTAAAAGTATATATACCTAAATAAAAAATTACTCCAGTAAAAGTAGAAAGTCCTCCATTCAAACATCACTTGAGTAAAAGTACAAAAGTATCTGATTTGAAACAGACTTAAGTACCGAAAGTAAAAAGTAAATATTCAAATTAACAGTAAATATCAATAATTAGGCAGATCAATTGTTTTGGGAGTGATATGGAATGTTTTATTTGAACAAATGATAAGATTAGATACTGCAATTAAGGATTTGTTAGCTAGCTGTTTACAAGGCATGTTTCAATATGAAATCACCTGGCTAACAATAGTAACATTAAAGCAACACTAAAGAACTTTTCCTCTGCGGTCCCCCTTCAGGTTAGAAGCGGCATTGCAATTTACTACAATTTAGCCTACCACAGCCTACTGTCGCACGCATGCTCGCTGTTTATCCACTGTTTATCCAGCACCGGCTTTAGAGTGAATGATGTCCAATTGTAACGCTTGCCGTAAAGCAAGTCAAATTTGTAGTTTTCTTATGTCTCATTCGAACTACAGAAACGCGACCCGATCTAGCAAACTTATATAGTGTGGTTCTAGCAGATATAGGACCACAAAGTAAAGGCAGAAGTGCCTTTCACCCTGTTACGACTTGATGAACCGCTGAAACGATTTTGGAAACATTATTTTAAGGTAAAAAATCTTCTTTAGTGTTGCTTTAACGTCAACTCACCTCAATATGTTTTCTCAGATTTGAGGGTGAAGTTTTGAATGCTGAAATTTAATTCACCCGTGGCAGGCAAAGAAGACATTTCAGCCGATATTAATCTCCCTTGACTTCAGTGAATTTAAACATATCATTGATATATGGCCATGGGTGATCCCTGTCGGAAATCTTGGGATCATTGCTGGCAGCGAGAGCTGCACCTTCACCGGTTTCTGTGGTCAATGGCGAACTGACTGCTATGTGAGCGCATGGCAAAGAGCTTGCGCGTTCTTTTTAAAAAAAGAAAAACAAGTTTTTCATTGGTTTGGAAAGCCAGTGTAATAAATACTTGGAGCGGGCATGGGGAAATGTATCGGAGTAAAAAGTAAACTTTGTCCTTAAAATTGTATTGGAGTAAAAGTGAAAGTAGATGCAAATAAAACATACTCAAGTAAAGTACAGATCCCCGAAAAAAATACTTAAGTAAAGGAACGAAGTATTTTTACTTCATTACTTACCACCACTGCTCCAGGGCTTGCACAGTCCTATATCTCGTCCTGGGTCGACATTTTATTTGGTAACGTTAGGCAGTTTTGATTTATATGCTGTTTAATGTTGATGATCGCGTTACTTTAGGATATGCATATGTGACCCGTGCTGGCAAAAAGAGTCACAATGAACAAAAAAAAAAAAAAGTTATTTTCACATTCTCTCTACATTCTCATTAAAAAAACCTTTAAAATGATGTATGATTTGTTGGAATGAGACAAAAATGACAGAGCTACACCTATTTGAATTTGATAGTCAAAAAGTAAATTTTGTGAAAAGAAAACAAAATCACCTAGCAACCATGCATTAAAATCCTGCAATACCACCACATTTTTCACACACCAAGTCAAAATATCTATAGGAAAAATATATATTCAACTTTTTTTCCATGATACCACAATTGAGACAGACAGCCTATATATTAAGACCTACTAATGCACGGATCTAATATAATGTTACACATCAGATGTTTTTCCCCAACAGTTAACCAAACGTTAATTTAAGACATAACAGATAATGTTTTCGTGAATACTCGCCAAGACAGATATTTTGAAATACTGTAATTCTGTGTATACATGTATATCGGGATCATGTGCTGTCTGGGAGGCATCTTTCATGCGCACGCTTCGGATCTGTCAGTTAGCGCGAGTAAGATCGTTTTGTTCACATTAGCATGAGTTTGAAAATCACTTTTCATTGGTTCAGACTCATGCTATCGAGAATTCGCCATGAATATTCACAAAATTGGAATGCTGATTACAACATTACAACCATACCAAACTTGGGGAAGCGGCAGTCGTTAAGAAGCGAGCAGAGAAAAAGTGAATTTTTCATGATTTAGGAAGGTTAGTAGCCTGGTTAAAACCAGACCATTCTCAGTTGTAACTGAGTTATGGTCTGGCAAAGCGTCATAGACAAATCATTTCCAGAGGGGCGTCACCAACAGACGTCGTGGATAGACCTAAAACCAATCAGAGCGATGAAGGAGATGACGTATGCAGAGCGGCGGAGAAACATCTCCGAGTGTTGTTCTTTGCTCGGTTTTTAACTAAAAAGAAACGTTCAAATCACTTAAAACAGACGCGATAGCTGATTCGAACGAGTGATGTTCGACGACGGCATCCATCTTTGTAATATAGGCTACAAAATCTGCTTCAAAATCCCAGCACTGTGTCATCGTGTAAAGCCCCGCCCCAACGTTTCTGATTGGTGCCGCGATTTCGACGGATTGGAAATGGGCTTGAATGAGCTCTTTGCCTGACTAACTTTCAGAGCAAATCTAAATTTGCCGGAAGTTGTCTGGGTTTTCCCAGGCTAGAAGGTTAGGGCTTAATGAACTCATTTTTGTGAAAACCTCAAAATCAGCCAAAATGTACATATTTCACTTTTCAAAGAGTTAATCACTCTCATGCCATAACAAACCTGTATGAAGGTATTTCTTCTTTGAAACACATCTGATGACAATTTAATACAATGCAACAAATGAGGACTTTTTAAGTTTCAAAAAGGATGCAAAAGCACCATTTTGTGATTTGAACACACTGTTTGATTAATGCAACATTTTGTGAAATGACAACTGATTCATTGAAAAGATCCAACTCAAAGGATTAATTCACTCTTGAAGATCTCATGGAAGAGATTGTTAAGATTATAAGTGTATAACATCGTACATTTCAGTCTGAAAATCATATACTTAACTGTTGTATGGTTTAAGAAGATTATGAAATAAGTGAAAATGTGGTATTGACTTTTTTGTACATTTTTATTATTCGCTTTTTCATTTTTAGAACATGACAACCCCAGTATCCGCTTGTTAAGTTTTGATATGTCGAATACTGTTTCTGGTTCAACTCCGTTTCAAGTGAGAATACAATCTCAGCAGCTGTTTATGAGCACTATTCATTCATAGCATAATTTAAAAAAATACTTAATGTACACTAGTCTCTAGGCTCATGGCGTCCCAGACACCAATATTTTAACAATATTTAGAAAAGATGAATCATTGTTTGGCCAACTGAGATTTTGGTGGAGATAAAGGTTAGGATCATGATTTTTCAGTAGTAATACAGCATACTGGGATTGTATATTCATTTTTGGACACTGAAACTAGGATGTGCAACATCAGACTTGACAAAAAGAATGACCAGGGTACTGGTTGAAAAAAAACTGAATGGGAACACAAAACAAAAGGCAGAAAGTCATACTGATTTGTCATACTGATGTGAAACACAAAAGGTAGAAAGTCATACTGGTTTGGAATGGCTTGAGGGTGAGTAAACCATGACAACATTTTCATTTTTGGGTAAACTTTTGGGTGAACTCACATTGTGGTCAAAGCTATGAATTGGGTGAAATACTGACATTATTCTGCATGGGCAGTGCATTTTACTGTACTGTATGTAAAGAGATCGTTCCTGCTGTATATTTAAAAAAGCTGAAATGTGAAAATATTCTGTGAGAAACTGCTTAAAACAGCACCGAATAAAAGCATTCTGCTTCTCTGACAGATGAGCCATGCGGAGGAGACAAGTCCATATTCTGTCAGATGGAGGTTCTGGCTCGTTATTGCTCGATACCAGGTTACAACAAGCTCTGCTGTGAATCCTGCAGTAAGCGAAGTGGTACTTTTTCTCCTCTTCTGCACGAAGCTGCTGAGATGGAAGAGGAACTTCGCTTCGGTTCAGCCTCTCAATTTCTGGAGACACTTTCAGCCTCAGCCGTTAATGGAACACTGAAAGGCCCTCAGCAGCATCAGCGGGGATCCTCGTCACAAGGCCAATTTGCCAAGCAAACCGCCACTCCCCCGCCTCGCAAACCCCATACCGAGAAAAGCAAAACTCAAAAGCTCCTCAAACCTGGCGCGAGAAATCTGCCTGCAATGACGATCCATAGCTTGTGGAACGAGAACGCCGCTAATGATGCACCATGGCTGCTGGAAAGTTTCCAAGAGACTCAGTGGCCAACAGCATCATCCGAGGTGGAGAGATGAAGGCTAGTTTGTCTCTTTTTTCCCCTCTGGACTCTCTCTCTCTCTCTCTCTCTCTCTTATTTGTTTGTTGTAGATATAGATCTTTAACATTCATCATTCCCTTCAGATCATCCTCAAGATATTTGAAAGCAAGAGAGAGTAAAGTGCTGGTTCACTTTCAAATGTTCTCAATTCCCTCGCCAGCAGTATTTGTTTTTAGAACACACTTGTCAATCACACACTGTTGTGAAGGGGAATGTGCCAAAGACTTTTTTACGATGATCCTCTCAGCAGCCTGGTCTATGAAGGTGAAGAGACTCTGGTGGTACTCGTGAGGAAATGCTTGTAGTTGCATCAAACTTCACAATCTATACAGTTTTATTTTGAACGGCTCCAAACTTGTTTGACCAAATAATATTTATGAACATTCCTGTAAATACTGTATATGGAAAATGTCAGTATTATTTTTTCAAAAAAACAAAAAAAAACAAGCTGAGGATTTTTAAAATAGGAGATTCAGGACCATTATCGGTGCTTTTAAAGTTAAGAACACTTTAATAAGAACACTTTAATAGGAAATGTGCTTTCAGTCATGATTTAAGCACTGACGAATATGTATTTCAAAACGGTGTGAGCCAAAGGAAAAACATCGGTGAAAAAGCATTAAAATTGCCATAAAATATCAACTTTTGGTTCCAAAAGCATTTCTGTCACTCATGAATCAGCCTCTCAGCAAGTCATCGATCAAATGAAATTCTCATCAAATAAAGACTGTTTACCTCCTAAATAATTTATTTTCCGCTAAAATGTTTACCCATGATGTTGAGGCTTCTCTTTGACACATGCCTCAGATTTCTCCCATTATGTCATATGTATGTATTCACCTTTTCAGTCAGAATTGTTTTAGCCAATGACAATATTTCGTGTGAACGTCATCAAGCAGCTGATATAGGAGACACATCATATTTATTGTGAAATGAATTGGATGTTTCAGGTGGGATTTTGAAGGAGTAAAGCTGGACTTTCTGGAGATCTTATACTGCACACGATATCTCTTGTCTGAGGGAGAGGAAAGCTATTTATTTTTATTATCGAGGGTTAAATCTCAACCACAATGCATCTGACTGCAATACCAAGGAGACCAGTTAATCTATCAGTGGAGTTCAGCTGTTCATAACCATACACTCACTTTCACCTGTGTACCACTGTAAAGCTATTGTATACCATTGAGAACTTTAGAGTATGTATTGAGATTCAAAGTTCAATATCATGTCTTAAGTGTTACTCATTATCTGTTACTTCAGAAAAAAACACATGCTCCCATTGAGTTGTAAGAGTTGCTCACAAAAGTAAATGCAGAAACAAAAGTAGACATTTGAATAGCCTTTTTTGTTGTTGTTTTAACTGGCATTTTAGATACAATAAGACACATGCTCAGTTTTTGAGATGTTATAATAAGGGAAAGCTGTTTCACAGCCATTTTAGAATAGAAATAATGTACAGAAAATCCTAAACAAAGCTGCCATTTACAGTGATTCATTGTCCTTCACCCAAAAATTCCCCAATCCTACACGAAACTGTTTTTACAGTTAATTCGTTGCTTTAATAAAAGCAAAATTATTGTGGATTTTGATCCTCTAGATTAGACAATAGGTGCATTTGCATAAATATAGAATCAGTTGTCTTTGAACTTCATTCAACCGATGAAAGCTGAGGTGAACGTTGTTGTGCATCACAAAAAAAATATTGTTCACTTTCTGCTAATAAAGAATTAGTTTCTGATCAAATCGACTAGCTTTAAGAAACAAAAGAATGTGAGATAGTTGAAGCTAAATTGACAATCCCTAAGCCACAGACAGACACCCAATACAAAAGGATAAATCGTATTTATCCTCACAATTCCATGTCCATTTAGGTATGAATTATTGTTCTGGCTTACAAAGACACTTTCAGTTGCTTGCAGTCATTTATTTTTGTTTTAATTTGTACTTTTGTTAGTTGTAATGGAAGTGTACACTACTGAGGCTGTTTTTGTAATGGGGAGCACATAGAAATAAAGAAAGTAATGAACACCACGCTGTCTCTTGAGAGTACTTTTTAGGTTTGCTTTGATGTTTGATTAAATGTGAACTCACATTTTCCCTTTTCCTTTACTAAGCCCTTACAAGACTCTTTACAGTGAAAATGCGTGATTATAATTCTAAACTAATTAAATTAAAAGGACTAAAAACTTTGCGAAAATAGCAACAGGTAATCACATAGTGCGTATTCAACATTTAATGAATCTACTAAATGTATTATATAAAGCCTGATATCAAATGTATGCTGGGATATGTGTGCTGGAGCACTGAGGCTTTAAGTCTGTCTATTTTTAGTTTGCTCCCTTTTCTTTTCACAAAACTGAATTAACCCTTTTGCTGGATTTTTTTCACATAGCAGCAAAATTGACTTAAAATACTCTGTCATTTATGGTCATACAGACATAAGAATTTTTTTAAATAAACTGTTAAATGTCTACTTTTTTATGTGTCCACTTGCAATCAAAACAAATAAAATGTCTTTGTATAAGCAGCGTATTAAACTGCAAATTAACATTTATATACCATATATTCATATATTAATGAATGTTTAGACACGATTTCGAGGACCAGTTTTGGATAGATCATAAAGATTTTACTGTAAAATAGACTACTGCCACATAAATTAAGCTTGTGTTCGCCAATTCATATGTTAAATAGTATGGGATGTTTGTCAAAAATAAAGTAGGTATATTGAATTATCAAGTAAGATTGTATTATAGTGTTTGTTCCCATGTATATTCAAACTAATGAATCCTTAACTTTGAATTACTTACAATAAACTTTGTGCTTTTTACAAAGAAATATTACACTTAAAATATTGTTAAAATTGTAATTGTTGATGATTTACATGTGAAACTTTTTAATAAATTAGCAAAAAAAAATATTTACAAGGTACATGTAAACAAAATCTTAATAGGTCGACAGAAGCTTTCTCATTACATTATTTATTATTGTGTTTCATTAGCAACACATTTGGGGAGAGGACACATATTCCAAAACTTTCTGAAAATACAGTATGAGAATTATTATACAATTTGCATGCATACAAAATTTGTGGAAAAAGACACATTTTTTTCAAGATGTTTCCAACTCTAACTTTGAACCAATTCTCTATATTGGCCCATATAGCCTATTGGAACAGAATTTGTTTCCAGGTATGACTGTACTCAAAATTTTATTATAATTGTTATATATATAAATATATAAATATATATATATATATATATATATATATATATATATATATATATATATATATATATATATATATATATATATATATATATATATATAATTTTTTTTTGTCCTCGCATTCTTTCTTGTCGCTCCCTCTCTTTGACATACCTGACTGAAAGGCTCATTATGTTGCTCATTATGCGGGTCATTGTCTTCTCAGGTGTGAATCACAGCATTAGTCAAAAGTCTTGTGGACACATATTTAGTATGTGTTTTGTGGCCTTATTTCAGAAACATCAAGCGTAGCGTCGGTTCTGGCTGGTCACGTTAGTCAAGCTCTCATCAGTGACTCTCAGCTGATCCACGTCTACCTATAGGAATACGACGCCTATCACTGTATACATATATAAGCTCCTTCAGTATTATCAGCAGCTATCACGTTTCTCAGGAGCTAATTACCCTCCTCCATCCCCAGCTCCTCTCGTCAGTCAGGATTTGGCATTCTGATTCCCCTTGAATCAGAATAAATTCTCGAATTATGTTGTACTTTAAAATCTTGAATTAATTATATCTGCATACATTCATGTTGGTTCTGTTCTGTTTACCCTGAGGGGGGTTATTGCTGCTCTCCCTGCTCTTATCAATGCTAGGCTGCATGGATGCGCTGGAAGTTATTGCCCAGAACAGAACCATACCGCCAATCCAAACTGTATGCTAATTGTCAATCGGATTTGATGATAGTGGTCCTGACAGAATTACATTTTTAGTTTTTTCAATAACCATGCATAAACATTATTCTCTCAAAAATACAAACATGTACATACACGTTGCTCACTTATGGTAGCCCTGTTTGTGCTGAATAGAGTGTAATGATACCTTTGCCATTAATATGTTTATAAGCAACTGAAAAAAAAGCACAAATGTCAGGGCATATCAGAACATCTCAAGGACCCCAAAAACACCTTAGACCATTAAGGGTTAAATCAATGCACAGAAAATGTTCTTCATTGAAATTTCCTTTGTTCTTTCACAAAGGATGTCCATACAGACTTCTCTATGGAAGTCAATTATTTCACTCAGGAAAACATTTTATTGCAACATTAAATTGCTTGAGAGCGCTATCCTGCTGCTGCACATAGTATTCATATAAAAGTATAACCTGTGCTCCCAATTCATTTTCCAGCTCCACATACTGTACCTTCAGGCTCAAAATTGCTATATTGTGGGAGGCTTTCATTTCTAAGACCCATTCAGATTAATGAGCCAAAATTATATTTAATGTTATGCCAGAATGATCACTAAGATCACTACAATTTTATGTATAAGGACATTCTAAATAAAATACAGTTCAGTATGAGAAAAATATTGCAGAATTATTTATTTTCTTACAAAAGCAACGCTAAATGGACAATTCACACAAAAATGACATTACTTACCCTCGTGACATTCCCAACCCATAAGACTTGGAAATGAATAGATATTCTGATTCTGTCTAATGAAATATGAAGTAAATGTGTGAAAATTGCAATAATTCTCCAAATGTGAACACTTTTGGACTCAATGCCTATGAATGTCGTTAAGCAAATCCCTGTGAACGCAAATAAACCGGAGAAGATGTGATTGAATTTGGATGTGTCTCGTTTCTTCGTTTGGTCAGAGGAGGACTGGTCCCCCGACTGAGCCTGGTTTATCCCAAGGGTTTTGTTCTCCATTCTTTCACCTGATGGAGTTTGGGTTCCTTGCCACTGTCACCTCTGGCTTGCTTAGTTGAGGATGCTTAATATTCAATAATATTATTAATTTGACTGCACCGACACTATTGGATGAGTACTGAACTGAGTTGAATGATCATGACATCACTGTTTTCTGTAGAGCTGCTTTACTGCCAAATTAAACTTTGCATAATTGAATTGTTATTTTCCTGGTATCACTGTAAAGCTGCTTTGAAACAATCTGTATTGTATAAAGCGCTATAAAAATAATGGTGACTTGACTTCATTATAGCAACTTGCTCTTGCTCCTCCCATCATACCAGACTGTAGCAGTTTGGCTGATATTCAACCTCCCTAAATATTATTGCATCTTTATTTTGATGCATTAGTGCTAAAATGTTTATATATATATATATATATCTGTGTCGGTAGGCAAAAAAGAGAGCAAGAAATAGCCTATGCACTTTCCCCATTTAATGAATGCTGGACCATCCCAGGAAGAATGGAGTGTAGTATGACTCA